TGGGTAATAAAAGGAAAACTTTGAGAGCTTTCTAACCATAGGTGCCTCAAATGTCATATTATTACCACATTCTTAGCAGTCTAATTAGGAAATGCTGTGCATGACCACAGCCTTATATAATTCTTTCTTTGCTGTTTACTCCTGAACTTTGTCCATATGTTTAAAAATTATTCAGTTGGATTTAGCAAGTACCTACTGAGTGCCTGCTATGTGCCAGGTACAGTGATGAGCACTGAGGATAGAAGCAAATGTGGTAAGATGTGTTCCTCATCCTCAGAGAGGAACACAATCTACGGGGGAAATTGAAGCAAAAAGAAAATGAAGAATGGCAATACAGTGAGAAATGTACAACTATTCCCACAAATACCAAATCAAGAGGCAACACCTGAGGGTATTATGCTAAGTGAAATAAGTCAGACAAATACCATATGATCTCACTTATATTAGGAATCTAGAAAAAAATAATTCACATATAAAGAATAGACTGGTGGTTTTCAGAGACAGAGGTTAGGGGTGGGCGAAATGGGTGAAGGGGGGTCAAAACGTACAAACTTCCAGTTATAAAATAAGGAAGTCCTGGGAAATGTAATGCACAACATGGTGACTATAGTTAATAGTTCAATATGCTTTCTTAAAAGAAAATAACATTTTTTTCAGATCTTGTAAATCAACAGTTTTTTCTTATAAATCAATGGTTCTTTTTTTGTTTTACTTTTTATATTTTTATCTTAAAGAGATCAAAAGGTTTTTGTCCAAAAACGAAGGTTTTAATGGAAAATGTTCAAAGCTCTCCTCATAGCCCAGGTTTGATTATGGGACAAATAAAATAACATATATACTTTGATTCATAATCAATGTAATTGACTTATAATTCCAATGTGATTGGAATTCTATAGCAGAAACTCCCCTAATCCCAGTCTAAATTTATAAATAGGACTCCTCTGTATTTTAGAAGTCAAATCAGAGACTTCAGAAAACTGCAGATAAAAATTACAAGGGGTGGGAAGGGAACCTAGCTCATAAACAGAGTGAAAACCTAAATAAAAAAAAATTTAAAACATAAAGAAAAATAAAATTTGAAATTAAAATTTTTTTAATTTAAGTAAATAAATATGAAGAAAGCAAGAAAAAATGATAATGACATCTACAAGTGAATAAGTACAGCTGATCCAAATCTCAGTTTTAAAGCATTTCATAGGTAAAGTCATTAGGAATGGCTTCCAGCTCACCAAAGAGAGTGTTTCTCCACATGCCAAATTACAACGTCAAGGCAGATCAAGGGAAAATAATCAGCCATTTGTTGATTATTTATTTTTTAATCATGTTCTCAAGCATCTACAGATGCAAGGAAGCATGTGGCCTCAGACTGAAGCTGTTTGCAAACAGCAGGATTGCCTGGCCCAAGAAATGGCGTTTGCTGTGAGGAAAGCTGCCCCTCTACAACCATGTTTGGATAGCACCTATGGCCTGCTGAAATTGGCATAGCACATTCTCCATGGGCATACTGCCAGCCTAACAGATGGGCAGGAATGTAACCCTGCCAAAGAGCCTGTGTGTGCGGGGAGCTCACAACTGTGGTTAGATTCCTTTCCAAGGGGCTGCATCTACTTATGCTGCCCAGGAGATAAATGTATGACTTACCTGTCTTCAAATGGCATTAATGAATTATGTAAAAAATTCTCCAAATTAGTGGTTACTTGGATTAGCAGCACTGGCACCATTTGGGCTATTGCTAGAAATGCAAATTTTCAGGTTCCACCCCAGACCTAGTGAATCAGAAACTCTGGGGGTGGGACCCAGAACTCTGAGGTTTAACAAGCCCTCCAGGACCTAGCTCTGACATATGAATCTATTGAAGGAGTAACTATTGAACCATTCTAACATGTGAACAGAGTAGGACACAACAAAATCTAGGGAAATGGTGAGGCTGCAAACTGGGTTCAGTGCAGAGTTCCTGAGCCCTAGGAAGGCATGCTGAGCTAGTGGTTTCATTTAGGGTGACCCAACAAGCTCAGAAGTGTTTGGAAATGTTTGAAAACATGTCTGACTGTCCACAGCTAAGGAATGTTACTGGTATTTATCCAGTGTTGTTATATTTCTTCAAATAAATGGAAACTAAAATGGCAATGGCACTCACATTGAGATCAAAGTCAGAAGAGGACCAGGCCCCAGTGTGATGACTGGGACATAAGAGAGGTCACCAGATAAGGACTTGAGAACAGAAACTAAGAATGAGAACCAAACTATAAACTGAGCCCCATGTAAGGGTGTTTATAAAGGAATACCCTTGAGGTAAACACCTGTGGAAGGAAAGAGATTATCTTTGTCTGGGCTGCTGTAACAAAACACCGCCAACTGGATAGCTTATAAACAAAAGAAATTTATTTCCCACAGTTCTGGACTAGAAGTCCAAGGTCAAGGCACCAGCATGGTCACATTTTCAGATGAGGACCTCCTTCCTGTGTCCTCACATGGTGGAAGGGGTCTCTTATAAATCACTAATCCCACTCAAGAGGGCTCCACCCTCATGACCTAGCCACCTCCTGAAACCCCACCAGTTAACACCCATCACCTTAGGATTTTAACATGTGATTTTTGGGGGAGACCAAATATTCATATCATAGCAGTGATAGAAGCAAAATTGTCCAGTGGGAGAAATCAAGCTACCTCAGCTGACTCTGTGGAAACTGATGGAGCTAGAATGGCCCTTCAGTGTTGTCTCAAGTTGGATTAGATGTCAGTGTCTTTATATACACCCCATTGATCAATCATTGAATATGGGCTGCCCTGAAAATTACTGCCAGCCTAACAGATGGGCAGGAATGTAACCCTGCCAAAGAGCCTGTGTGTGCGGGGAGCTCACAACTGTGGTTAGATTCCTTTCCAAGGGGCTGCATCTACTTATGCTGCCCAGGAGATAAATGTATGACTTACCTGTCTTCAAATGGCATTAATGAATTATGTAAAAAATTCTCCAAATTAGTGGTTACTTGGATTAGCAGCACTGGCACCATTTGGGCTATTGCTAGAAATGCAAATTTTCAGGTTCCACCCCAGACCTAGTGAATCAGAAACTCTGGGGGTGGGACCCAGCACTCTGAGGTTTAACAAGCCCTCCAGGACCTAGCTCTGACATATGAATCTATTGAAGGAGTAACTATTGAACCATTCTAACATGTGAACAGAGTAGGACACAACAAAATCTAGGGAAATGGTGAGGCTGCAAACTGGGTTCAGTGCAGAGTTCCTGAGCCCTAGGAAGGCATGCTGAGCTAGTGGTTTCATTTAGGGTGACCCAACAAGCTCAGAAGTGTTTGGAAATGTTTGAAAACATGTCTGACTGTCCACTGGTATTTATCCAGTGTTGTTATATTTCTTCAAATAAATGGAAACTAAAATGGCAATGGCACTCACATTGAGATCAAAGTCAGAAGAGGACCAGGCCCCAGTGTGATGACTGGGACATAAGAGAGGTCACCAGATAAGGACTTGAGAACAGAAACTAAGAATGAGAACCAAACTATAAACTGAGCCCCATGTAAGGGTGTTTATAAAGGAATACCCTTGAGGTAAACACCTGTGGAAGGAAAGAGATTATCTTTGTCTGGGCTGCTGTAACAAAACACCGCCAACTGGATAGCTTATAAACAAAAGAAATTTATTTCCCACAGTTCTGGACTAGAAGTCCAAGGTCAAGGCACCAGCATGGTCACATTTTCAGATGAGGACCTCCTTCCTGTGTCCTCACATGGTGGAAGGGGTCTCTTATAAATCACTAATCCCACTCAAGAGGGCTCCACCCTCATGACCTAGCCACCTCCTGAAACCCCACCAGTTAACACCCATCACCTTAGGATTTTAACATGTGATTTTTGGGGGAGACCAAATATTCATATCATAGCAGTGATAGAAGCAAAATTGTCCAGTGGGAGAAATCAAGCTACCTCAGCTGACTCTGTGGAAACTGATGGAGCTAGAATGGCCCTTCAGTGTTGTCTCAAGTTGGATTAGATGTCAGTGTCTTTATATACACCCCATTGATCAATCATTGAATATGGGCTGCCCTGAAAATAGTATGACCTTGGGCAAGGCCATTCTCCTTGGATAGGTAATTCCTGAAGTGGCTGGCAACTGAAGGCTGACTGCTGACAACACTCCTAACAGCTGGGTTAATAAGATCCATTGAAGGAGGATTTGTCCTCCTTATTTGTCCATAACACAAATGGACAAAGTATGTAGAATAACATGGAATTCCAGTGGTCAGTGCCACAACACCATCTCCCAGGTGAGCTTTCAGCATGAATTCCCTGATCAAACACATCAGTTCCATGTCCAAAGTTTGGATGCTGGCCTCTAAAGTAGGGAAGTTGCATGTTCTCAGGACGATGCCCACTTAGCCTTACATGCAATGACCTAAAAGAGGGGATTGGTCAATAAAGCCATGGCACTTCTCCAGATTCTACAGCAAGATCTGGTTGTCACACTCCCTGTCTTTGCATGCTTGAGCCCAGAAGTAGACAGTTATAACATGTTCAACCTTTCAGTCAGTCCCACCTGTTGGTGTGCTAAAGAGAACTAAACATGGCTCTGTTTAGGTGCTGCTTCTCTCTCCTTTCATTAATCTTGCCTGAGAGAGATGAACAGCAGCCTTTAGCTGGGGAGGAGGGGGGTTTTTTTTTTTTTCACATCCGAGAATTTTATTGGACCCGGCTCTGGGCCTGGCAGGCCCAGCTCATGGCCCCGCAGCTAGGGCTGGAGGACAGTGGTTCCATACAGAAAATCTCAGGGCACACGGTAACCCCACAAAGCGACACTATAAAATTATTATAGTTGGGAGACTGTAGGGCTGCTCCACAGACTTGCGAACAGGTCAAATCTTGATAAATAAACATCCAGTGAAAACGACAACTTGAATTCATCCCTATACACAGAGCACTCTAGGGCAGGTAAATAGGTGGGGGTGGCTAGAAGCCACCATCCTCACTGGTTGGGGGACCTGGATGGGTGATGATGAGTGGGCCCAGATGTCCACGGCACGGAGTAGGAGTGGGCTTTTGATACCAGTTCTGGTTTATATAATGGTCCAGCCCTGCCTTGAATGTGTGTGCTTGGCTGCAAATTTATCAATCACCTTCTTGAAGGTTCTTCTCTGGTTGATCCTGCTGGGACTGTTTGTGGAACTGGAATTTGGCCTGGCTTATTTTGTCCTGCCCTTGTTCTACTGGATGTATGTCGGGACACGAGGTCCCGGGGAGAAGAAGGAGGGAGAGAAAAGCGCCTACTCTGTGTTCAACCCGGGCTGCGAAGCCATCCAGGGCACCCTGACTGCAGAGCAGTTAGAGCGCGAGTTACAGCTTAGACCCCTGGAGGGGAGATAGGAGCAGCTCTGCTGCACGCCTTGGCCCTCCTAGCCCTTGGCCGTGGACTTGTGGGGTTGTTCAGGCGCCCCAGACTAAGGACAGCTTGCAGGCTAGTCCTGTGACCGCACAGTTCTACCTGTTTTCCCTGATCTGCTGCAGTTTTATCTTTGAACTTCTCTTTGGTTTTGGTGAAATTCCCTGAAAGATACTCACTGTGTATCTGATGCAATTATAACAATTACATACTGGGGGGGAAAAAATTTTTTTCCCCAGGATCTGGACCATGTCCCTGATCCCCACATGCTATCTGGGATCTTGTTTTCTTCTGAGCCAAAATGATATCACCATTGGGTATCACCAGCATAGTTGCCGTTCAGAGAATCTTGCAGCAGGATCCCGGCTCACCTTATCTGATACCTTAATTTGGATTTCGTTTGGACTTCATCCAGCTTCCTTAGAAACTGGCCAGGTCAGTCTCCCAAACCCTTGCCTCATAAAGCCACAGTTTAGGGTCCAGGATAACCACTGGCAAAATCTGCATTCTACGACACTTTGAGCCTCTTAGAAAGGTGTTTCAAAAGTACCAGCTTCAGGAATGAGTGCAATAATACTTCTGCTAGCCAAATGGAGATGGCAGATCTTAACCCACAATTTCTTTGGCTTCCTATCTTCTCAGATTTTAGTCTTCCCCCACAGATAGGGTTATTTTACTTTATACAACAAGGAAGCATTCCTCTGAACATAGCAACCCTTTTTCTAGAACATGGCAAAAGACCATAGCTCAACATCTCAGACTCCCTTGGGGCCTCCCAGTCAAGTTTGGTTTCCTGTCTGGTTTGCATTCCATCTGCAGTTGATTGACTGAACACAATAAATAGTCTACACTTTCCAGGCTATTTGGGATAACTCCAGCTCCCCCAAAACTCTGGGCAGTGGCTTTGTCACTTATGAGTTTGCTCTATAAATAATATATTAACTATTTAATGCCACTATTATCCATTCAAAGAGACAGAAGACTAAAGACTGGTTGCCCGGGGCTGCAGAGAGTGGACAATGGGGAGTTAGTGTTTAATGGGTACAGAGTTTGGGATGATGATAAAGTTCTGCAGACAAATAGTGGTGATAGTGGCACAACAGTGTAAATGTACTTTATGCCCCTATACTGTATACTTAAAAATAGTTACAGTGGCAAACTTTTATGTTATGTGCAGATTTTTTAAAACACTCTGGAGAGACTTTTTAAAAATATGTTTTTATTGATTTGAGAGAGAGAGAGAGGAAGGGAGAGGGATTAAGAGATAGAAACATTGATAAACTGCCCTGACTGGGAATCGAACTGGTGACCTCTAGGTTCATGGGGTGATGGCTCAAACACTGAACCACACCAGCCAGGCTGGAGAGACTTTTAAAAAGACTCCTATTCTAGTTTCTTTGGTTGGAGGTGGTAATATATTTACTCAAGTTTCCACAAGTGAAGCTGTTTATTGTAAGACTCAGGAACTCATATCAATTAAAGAACAGGGAGCAGACTGGAGCAAAAACTGGAACTGTACCCAATAACTCTCTGGAGCAAGAGGGTGACTCTTCTCTCAAATCTCCACAGTTTAAATCCAAACAAGGCTCAGTTTCTCCTTGTCTATGCTTCTCCTTACTTGTCTTCGTCTTTTTTTTATTTTTTTTATTGATTTCAGAGAGGAAGGAAGAGGGAGAGAGATAGAAACATCAATGATGAGAGAGAATCATCGATCGGCTGCCTCCTTCATGCCCCCTATTGGGGATCGAGCCCACAGCCCAGGCATGTGCCTTGACCAGAATCAAACCCGGATCCCTTCAGTATGCAGGCCGATGCTTTATCCACTGAGCCAAACCAGCTAGGGCCTCACATGTCTCCTTGGTACTTCTTGCAACAAAGACTAGTCCCTCTACTTTATCTTTTCTTTTTTTAACATATTTTATTGATTTTACAGAGAGGAAGGGAGAGGGATAGAGAGTTAGAAACATCGATGAGAGAGAAACATCAATCTTTATAGAGAGTTAGAAACATCTATGAGAGAGAAACATCGATCAGCTGCCTCCTGCACACCCCCTACTGGGGATGTGCCCGCAACCAAGGTACATGCCCTTGACTGGAATCGAACCTGGGACCCTTCAGTCTGCAGGCTGATGCTCTATCCACTGAGCCAAACCGGTCAGGGCTCTACTTTATCTTTTCTCCTTCTCATAGCTTCTGCTCAATTATTGTCTTCCCTTCTTCACACTTTAGCTTCCTTGTAACCTAGCTTTGAATTTGACCTCTTTTCTACATTATACCCCTTCTATACATCCTTTCATATCACTCCCCACTGTTACCCACCTCATATTCTGTTTCCCAAATCAGGTACCCATGACTGAGCAATCAGTCTGAGTAGAGCTTTTTTTCCAGGTGACCCCATAAGCTGCTCTCCAATCTATATTTTGGCTCAATTTGCTGCAATCAGCCATGTGAAAGGTGGATTTATTAGGTATAAAACATGGCTGCCTTCATCTACCTCTTTAGCAGAGGTGGTAGGTATAAAATACACTGTGATAGCCATGTCCTGTCCAACGTAATTTTTAATATCATCACTCCTTATGCTCTAGAGCAGTGGTTCTCAACCTTCTGGCCCTTTAAATACAATTCCTCATGTTGTGACCCAACCATAAAATTATTTTTGTTGCCACTTCATAACTGTAATGTTGCTACTGTTATGAATCGTAATGTAAATATCTGATATGCAGGATGGTCTCAGGCGACCCCTGTGAAAGGGTCGTTCGACTACCAAAGGGGTCGCGACCCACAGGTTGAGAACCACTGCTCTGGAGAGTCTAGAATAATAACCCTTTCTAGGAAGAGTCGCAGCAGCTACATCTGCATCAATGACATCTTTGACATCAGTGTATTTCAGGAGAATCTCTACTTTCTGATGATGCTAAAGACCAAATGACTATTCCACTGATGACACCAGCAACTGTTTTCTGTGCTCTAGGGAATATATATATACCAATGTCAGAGAGCCTGCCTCTGGTATGAAAACACGCAGGATCAACTTAAAACACTTAGCTTGATTTTATGGCACATTTTTTACCCCTGCTGCTTACTCATTATGTTCCTAATTTTGGCATAGTTTAAATCCAAAAAGTCCTGTGGACAAATGTATGCTTTTTAATCAGCAAATTATTTTTAGTTCCCGGTCATTAAATCCTAATAATGTAACTAGGACATTTGGCCTCTGGCAAATGCACTAATTAATAATGTTTTAAATAGCACATAATGGTTTTTTGTGTGGGCAACATGCTAAGTAAGATATTCCCAAACTTAAAGATATAGGAAGTTATTCCTTGAGACATCAGATCTGGCTGAGTTCTGTAGAACTCACTGAATACATCAGCTGGCTCAACTCCAGCTCTGCAGGACTTGAAGCTTCTGGCAGGAGAAAAGGCAAAATAGCTGCATTGTGGGTGCCCCCAAGTGGGTACATGTTGATGTGCACGCTGAGGATTTTCTGGCCAGCTCCTCTAGCATTAGCCTGTGAAGTGTTTATAAGAATGCAAAAAAGCTATTATATAAGAGGTGTATGCATTTTTCAGCATGCACCTCTTATATAATATCAACTGAAAGAATATTTAATGTTTTGGGTTACCACAGATCATTTATTTTCTATCAAATATTAATAAAGTTTTCAAATTACCCTACCATACACTGAGTGACCAAATTATTATGACCGGCCAGATTATTATGATATCCCATCAGTACAATGAAGTGAATTAGTTATGAAAATAATAATAATAATAATAAAACCTTGAGAGTATTTGCTTAGGAAGTTTTCAATATTCAGAATTTTTGGAAGTGTCAATGAAGTACTGATGGGGTGGTCATAATCTGTCCACTCAGTGTATGTATCAAATAGAAAAAGGATGGACTTTAATGTCAGACAAAACTTGACTTTGTACTCTCAGCCCCTTATCAGTTGTGTAATCTTGGGCAATCCACTTAATCTCCCTAATTCACAGTTGTCTCATTTTTAAAATGGGATTTAGGAGTATTGACTTCATTGGACTATGTTTTAGATAACACTTGTAATAGGGACAGGGTCTAGCACATTACAAAGTGCCTAATAAATATTATTTATTATTTTTGCTTGTAAACAATATTGTTTGATATATACATGCAAAATGAAATATATCTATTAAGATATACCAAAGTTCTAGGACTTTCCCAATACCTTGTCAACAAATTCCTATCATGGGAATGTAAAGTACAGCATAGGTGATATAGTCAATAATATTGTAACTGTGTATGTTATCAGGTGACTACTAGACTTATTGGGCTGATCACTTCTAAGATATCTAAATGCCTAATTATTATGTTGTACACCTGAAACTAATATATTGCATGTCAACTGTAAATTAAATTTTTTAAAATAAATGTCTTTCCTGCTTAAATCAACGATAGGCAATTTCTGATATTTATGATGAGAATTTAGCAATGTATATAATTATGGCAGTGGAAAAGAATGAGGTTGATCAGTATTCCTCAAAAATGTTTATGTCATGAGAGACAAAGAAAGGCTAAGGAAATGTTCTAGATCAGTGATGGCGAACCTATGACACGCGTGTCAGAGGTGACACGCGAACTCATTTTTTTGGTTCATTTTTCTTTGTTAAATGGCATTTAAATATATAAAATAGATATCAAAAATATAAGTCTTTGTTTTACTATGGTTGCAAATATCAAAAAATTTCTATATGTGACACGGCACCATGGTTAAGTTAGGGTTTTTCAAAATGCTGACACACCGAGCTCAAAAGGTTCGCCATCACTGTTCTAGATGATAACAGACTAAGAAACACAACTAAATGCAAAAAAATCTCTATAAATTACTTTATTAGGATAACTGATGATATTGGAATGTGGACTATAGATTGCATAAAATATTTTTATCAATATTATATTTACTGAATTTGATAACTGTTATTATGTAAGATAGTTTTTGAAGTATAATTGACAAATTACTGTATATTAGTTCCCGATGTACAACATAATGAATCAATATTTGTATATAGAGAATCTTCCTGTTCTTCGGAAATATGCACAGAAATATTAAGGGGCATGATTCAGACAACCTACTCTCAAATGGTTTAGGAAAAGTAAATAAAAATATATATAACATTTCTGTGTGCATATTGTGTAGATGGTGGATAGATAGATGTCTATGTATATAGACATCATCATACACATGTATGCAAAGAGAATAAGAGAGAGAATATGGAAAGATAGAAAATGATAAAAATTTGTGAATCAGGGCAAAGGGTAAACAATAGTTCTCTGTACTCTTCTTGCAACTTTTCTTTGTTTAATATTTAAAGTTAAAAAATCTAGGTTTGAAAATTTTTATATAAAAATTTTTAAAGATAGTGACATAGTCCACCAAAATATATTAGGTAACTATC